GTGAGAAGGTGCTTGGGAAGGAGCATCCTTCCACGCTGACGAGCATGAACAACTTGGTGCTTGTACTAGACAGCCAGGGCAAGTACGAGGAGGCAAAATCGATGCACAGGCAGACACTGGCGGCAAGTGAGAAGGTGCTTGGGAAGGAGCATCCTTCCATGCTAACGACCATGAGCAACTTGGCGCTCGTACTGAACAGCCAGGGCAAGTATGAAGAGACGGAATTAATGGATAGATAGACGCTGGTGCGGAGGGAGAAGGTGCTTAGGCCAGAGCATCCCTCCACGCTGACAAGCGTGTACTGCCTCGCTTATTTTCTTGCTCTTGCGAGTGGGCATCGTTACGATGAATCTACTGCGCTGTATGAAAGAGCATGCGCTGGGTATAATGCCATTCTTGGGAAGGTTCATCCGACTACCCGCGCATGTCGCCATCACTATTCACAGATGCTTTCGTCTCAAAAGCAGGACCCGCTTGACGTTCCTGCAGACATTCCGCTCAGTGGCGTAGGCAGACAAACGAGCAATGGATCAAGACCTGTTGCGTGGGCTCGCGAGGATGGGCCTTAGACGTTCAAAGGATTCTATATAGTGAAGAGACCAACTGTGCAATATTATACAAAGTGCTATCCCTTAACCCGTTGAAATGGGTCCTACGTTATCGATAAGGCTGCGGCCAATAAGAGGCTCTGATTCCTTCCTCCGTGATGAGAATTACAATGACCTGAGGCTATTCGAATTGCTTGTAGATAGCTATACAGGCCTATTCTATGGAGTTGAGCTTTGCTAGATGTTCACTCCAACACTGTGAACCTGTACAGAATGCAATCATACAAACTGTACAACCATAATTCGTCCGAGGCGTCCTTATACGACGCTTCCAGCCATGACTATCGCCTCTTTCCTTTCTTGTGGTGTTGATAGATAGATTCGCAAGTGGCTTCCGAGCCCCATAGTGTGGTGTTGTAGTAGTACGCCTTGCCTCCTTGCAGGCAGCGCAGAGGTGTTGTTTTTTAAACACCTTAGCTAGCTTATGCTCCTTGACCGGCTGCCATACTATGTCCATTATTCCTTTCACTCCTTCTACTGTATGTTGCTTGCGAACACGAATAGAGTTATGGAGGAGGGCATCGCGTAGGTTGCGGCGGAATTGGGCATGCGAATGTTGGCGTAGAGTTCGCTCACCCACTATCCTGTAGGTGGACAGCTGGTAACAATTGCCAACTACTGTATCTAATAGGAAAGAATAGAGGCTTCCACGTCTTCCTATGAGTCCTCTCGGTGTTGTAGTAGGACCTTAATTGGTCGGCCACGTCGACGCCGCACATGAAGAGATTGTACTTCTCTATGAAGTCTGGTATATCCAATTCCTTCCTAGCCTTATCGCCGAACACCTTCGCTGTTTGCCTGTAGCCTGTGGACACTGTAGAGGGTCGTTTTCGTAGCTTCGCGATGTAGTTTTGACCTGGCGATGTATGACGTCAGCGGCTCTGCGGTATAGTGTTGAGGACGATGTACGTACCATTATGAATTGTAGACAGGAATAGAACCACCGTGGCGTCCTTCCAGGCAAACTCCATTACCTTAT